TCAACCCAAATCTATGAAAAAGAACATATAGTGAGAATCACAAGACGATTTTTCTCGTTGACTATTACTTTTGTTAATGAAAAAAAAAGAAAAAACTAGACAGATTCAAAATAATTTTATTTCCTATTCAGTATTTGATTTTCTTCGTAGATCTTGGAAATGATTGAAAATATGAAAGTTTGTTTGTAGTTAAGCGCGAAGCTACACAAATCGGCCATCTGTGCTGTGCCCGCCACGGGTATCGGAACTCAATTTTTAGCGTTATAAGTCTGCATACTGACCGCTAAGCCACTAGGGGCTTATAAAAGTGCTCAAAATTAAGAAGGATAAACAGGTTTCTGTACAAACTAGTATTTTCAGTCTGAATGATCCCTAATTTTACTTTGGATAAAAGACCAGATGGAAGGTAGCCAGTTAGCAACACCCACCACGATAACGGTTTTGTCCGACTCTTTGAACAGAATAACACGACTGACTGCCACTTTTATAATGTACTCACTGTTGATAAGTGTGGAGTGTTGTAGTATTCTGGTTCACTGATGTCCGACAGATAAGTTCAAGTATGTGAAGAATACAGATTTGGAAATACTATGCAGAGAATTGTAATGAACTTGTACAGCAAAAGAAAAGCAAGCAAACACAAATGAATAAACAATTCAAAATCTTTGTTCACAAGAAGAATTATCGTAGTTTACCCACTTCTTTTCCACAGAGTGATTTCAACTGGTTGTTGGGTAGGAAAGGTTTCCCAAAAAACGTTCGTACTATACAAAGACAAGATAAAGAATAATGTAATACAGCATTATCAAGTCAGACAAAGAACCCTGTAATGGTATCTCACAATCCTTAGTTTACTTATGTTAACGTCTGTTCAAATGTAATATAATGCAGTGAAGGAATTCCCAACTCATACTAACTTGAACAAATATATGGGCCATCTCTTGAAATTGACACAGACACATGGTCCCAGTGGTACAAGCTTTCACGAAATACCCATTACTTTATGTAGCTTTTACCTAAGTAAAAGGTTTAATTATTACATAAATATGTTTTGCTACAAATATATTCTAAGAAAGTTATGGAAGGATGAAATTAACAGTTACTATAACTGCAACAGCGTGTTTAATAAGACTACGTCTCGAACTCCAGACCATTCCATCCATAAACCGACACACTAACCATTAAACCACGCCCTAATGTTTGGGATTTTTCAAGCCTTTAATTAAACCAAATAACAACAATAACTATTAATTAGAGTAGAACAGTTCAAGTATTTCGAGGTTTTGAATATTAGTACTTTAAGTTGAATCCCATAGTTTGTTTGATATACCAGTTTCAATGTTGAATGTTAGTAAATTTTGAATTTGTTATTGAAAGATCAAAAATATATTTTTTTTTAATTCTATGGATCTCCATTTGAAATATCACAAACATTTTCGTTTGTTACAAGATTATAATCCTTGGTTCTGGTTGTATATTGACATTTTTCTATTGGTAACAAATTAATCGGATTGTACTTATTTCATTCTGCTAAAGAGGGCGTTGAATTTGTATTAGCATTACATTTCTTTATTTTGTATAAGGCTAATAAAGCCTTAAGAAGAGGAAATTTTAGACCGCCAAAACCATACCTAAATATGTATCACATTCCCACGCGATTACTTAAAACGTCTTTCACTAAGAAATAAGAATAATGAAAATAAACTTAAGTGATTTTAATGGATCGTGGAGTTACCTGATGGAAAAAAAGGAACCTAAACCATTATAACGCCCCCACGGCTGAAAGGGCGAGCCTGTTTGGTGGGATGGGGATTTGAATCCACGACCCTCAAATTGCGAGTCGAGCACCCTAACCACCTAGCCACGCCAAGCCGTGCTCCTAGAACCAACATTTGTGCTGCGTGAGAAAAGTTCCTAAAGATTTGTGGACAACAAGAGTTAGTTGTAAGCTTAACTGTCGCCAGTTGACAACATTTAACAGTGTGTATCATCTCTGATTAAGAATTACATGTAATTTCTCAGCCAAATACTTCTTCATTTCTTTCTAATTTGTATCATTGTAATCCTAACCAACGTGCAGAGGACATTAAAAGGTTAGGGACTCATTGATAAAAAAAGGTACTTTTTTCGGGAGGGGGTGGGGTGTTAGAGGAGACTGTGGGTTATCTCTGGTACACATAGGGTAATCAGACGTGTCTCTTAGTAGATGTGGATATTTTTTATAACTGAGAAAAAGGGCACTTTGGGGACATAAGAGCAGAAAGGCAGGGGCTTGAGCCCACCCAATCACCTTCCTGTGCGCGTCAGTTTGTTTGGAATTTCGCGCAAAGTTTCACGAGGACTATCTGCACTATCCGTCCCTAATTTAGCAGTGAAAGACTAGAGGGAAGGCAGTTAGACATCACCACTCACCGCTAACTCTTGGACTACTCTACTATCAACGAATAGTGGGATTGATTGCCAAAACAATTTAGCAGCACAGTAGTTTTTTTTTTTAATTATGTAAAAATAATTTGCCTCATTTGCAATTAATTAAAAAAGGAGGTAAATGGATAATATAAAAGCTCGTGCTATACATTTTATGGATGGAAAAAAGGTACCTCTCTCCAAAACAATCACCAAACACCATATATACTCAGTGTTGTGTCAAATGCCAATATAATGTTTTAGAGAGTTTATAAAAACAAAGCTCGCCTAACATTAAACTTTTGTATATGAAATAAAAGTATTAAATTTGTAGAAATCGCATAACCGAAAACCAATAAAATACTCCCCAGTAGCACAGCGGTATTTCTGCGTTAGAAACCGGATTTCGATACCCATGGTAGGAAGAGCACAGATAACCAATTTGCGTAGCTTTGTGCTTAACTTCATACAAATAAACAAACAAACAAAAAAGAATGCAGCATTACAGCTAAAATAAAAGCGCGTGGCTAGAACCTGATGTTAGTTGCTATCCACTCAAAATTAGGGATGGTTATACCTGAACCATAGGGGCCTGAGAGTTGGTCATTTTGTTCATTGTGTGCATTAGGCGTCGTTCGGATGGATATATATATATGTATTGTTATTATGTTACTGCTGTAGGATGCATCTAGTTCCTGCGCATTTAATTTTATCTTTCTCGATTTATTAGAAAATTCTATCAAACCAAGTCATTTAATCTAGAAAATGCATACTTTTCAACAGCGCTCAGGTGAAATAAATTAATAATGTTTCTTCTTCAAATGACCTGATGGTTAGGGCACTCGACTTGCGCTCTTGGTGTCATAGGTTCGAATTCCATCACCAAACATGCTCCCCCTTTCACCAATGGGGCATTTTAACGTGACGGTCCATCCCACTATTCGATTACAGTAGCCCAAGAGATGGCGGTAGAGGTGGTGTTGAATAGCTGCCTTCCCTCTAGTCTATGTCTTCTAAATTAGGGACGACTAACGCAGATGTCCATGGAGTAACTTTGGGCGAAACTTAACAAACAAACAAGCAAACAAAACCGTTTTTATCTTGTTCCTTCTCCTTAGATGTAAAATCTACTACCAAAACTAGTCAAGTTCAGAAGATTGTAGCGAGACAAAAATATAACATATCTTATGCATTATACTCTTTCTTTCTCCTAGCAGTTGGGAATATCATAGAAAAAGGTATAAAAAAACAACCTCTTGAGGCTGGAGAATCAGCTTCAAAATCATTGTTTTGTCGCGGTGAATACACACGTTTTAAACAACTCCAAACTTTGTGATGAAGAAAAGCGATATATGTAGGAGTAAATGTTCACAATACAAACATATCTTGAAACAAAACCACGACCACGCTTCAGAACTGCACGAGGTCACGTCTCATTCGTAATTATAAAATGTTTCCAGTTATAAGCGGAGAAAAAATTTGAAATGTCACTTTAGGAGTCCAAAAATCAAATCAAGATATATATATACACAGGCACATTGAGAATTACTATTTTGACCAGTAAAGAAACTTTAAAAATTCTCAAGAGTCAAAAACTTTGCATGTCTTGTGCTGAACGACAATTTACACGTTCTTGCTAATGTTCGTTAAATCCGCAGAAATTGAGAACGTTCTTAAACCCCTTTATCTTCCATTAGAGAGCCCCAATTTGATATTTCCAAAATCTGAATTTAGTTTGTTTTCAATAATTCTTTGCATATTTTCAGTGAAACTCAGAGTCACCCAAACTCCTTTATTCCCAATGTTTAAGGCCCCTGACGACTATTTTGAGTTTTTGTTTTCGAAACTTTTGTTCTCATTTTATAGCCTATCGAATCAATAGCCTACACGCCAAATTTCAAGTCTTTCTGTCAAAAATTATGTTTGTTGTTTGTTGTTAAGCACAAAGCTACACAATGGTGGGCTATCTGTGTTGTGCCCACCACGGGTATCGAAACCCAGTTTTTAGTGTTGTAAGCCCTCAAACTTACCGCTGAGCCACTGGAGGGAAAAAATTGTAAGGATTCAAAAATCAAGTAAACATGAAACATAAATATATACATAGGTTCAATTGAGAAGTAGTATATATAACAGAATATATATGACATTAACATTCATACTTGGGGCTAGGCCTACGCAAAACTGTTAACAAAAAGGTGGGAATATTGACTTGAAAGAAGTGACTGTCTTACTAACCTGTATGTTTTTTATATGCGTGGAACTATATTTGAATATATGTTAGGTTCGTTTGATGAAAAAATAAAATGTACTAATGTTACTACACATTTATAATTTTCTTATATAACATAAAACATTTAACACATGTATGATCTTTTTTTTCTCTCTCTTAGAGTTTTGAGTTCAGTTTGTTTTTAAATTATCATCTGGCATCAATGCTTACTAGAGGCAGATTGAATCTTTAACTTAGGATCTAAAATAACAAAAGGGAAAAACTAACGTTTGATTGAAAATGGGATGTTTGTTTATATCTATCACTGGAGTTGCGTGCGTGAGAGTAATGTCATTGATATATTTTCTTGTTGTTTTTTTTGCAGGTTAATTTCGCCCACACCAGTTGTACTGTTGCTGAGCCACAAGTAACTACAAATGTGAATTATGGACCTATTTTTTCAGTTCCAACTTTGATCATAAAATCTTCTTTGTCGTGTATACGGCTATGGCTGAGAAGTTGCACACAACAGCGATATAGATTTAACTGTATCTCGTGCCCTACGTGTGTGCAGCCTCATGTACACAGCTGTACCTTATTAACATATTAATAATTTATGACTCTTTGAAGTCCATTACTAAACTTTAAGTGACTATAAATCACTGTTTCCATGTAAAAGATTTTACCAAATATTTATTGCTTGTGTTATATAAACGAAAGACTGGAGCTGAAAAAACGTAAAGCGCAAAGCTACTCCAGTGATGACACAGAGAGGAACTTTCGCGTCAGAGCCCGTGGCAGGGAGGCACGTAGTAGCTCAGACCACGTGCCCTCGGACAATGGCAATGGACGAAAGTCAGCATTTCGGAGCTACTGTCACCGAGCCTTCTTTAACAGATTATCACACATGTCTAGTCAAAAGTGGTTACAATATTGAACCCCTGCTTTTCAGCAATCACCACCGGCGTGCTTTTTCCTTGTATAACGCCGACAGACAGCCTGCTGTAGACGTAGCCTTCTTGTTGGCCTGCAGAGACGGCAATCTTTTCCAACTGAGAGCAGCTATACAACGTGGACCTTCTCCAGCTACTGTGAACCAACAGGACCACTGCGGAAGGGTAGGTTAGATTATGACTAATGAAAGGTTTGTTAGTTAGACAAGTTTTTGACTCTGTTCCTATGACTCATTAAATGTACGGTGGAACACAAGTTTATCTTGTGCATACTTTTCGATGCTGTGTAACAATGGCCGATAGGTTGAAATAATAACAGATTTGACGCACCTATTTCTCACTTCTATAAAGCATAGTACGTGTAAATTTAATTTTAGTAGTTTTTATACAAACTGTGGTTATGGCTGGAGAACATCCAAGCAGAATAAAACCGTTATCGGGTTACTGCAGGAGTGTTTTCACAACACAGCTGAGCGTAGAGATATCACGTTCTTTGTCAGAATTATATTTATACACACTTTATGACTCTCCAAGAAAATTTAAGTTTATTGTCTTTTACGTTATAGTGAATACATTAAATGCATTTTGATGAAATATCTGAAAAGTTGACATTTTTTATCCAAGTTAAAAATGGAATATAATTGCACAGATAATTGTTTTTGTTTTTTGAATTTCGCGCAAAGCTACACGAGGGCTATCTGCACTAGCCGTCCCTAATTTAGCAGTGTAAGACTAGAGGGAAGGCAGCTAGTCATCAACCACCCACCGCCAACTCTTGGGCTACTCTTTTACCAACGAACAGTGGGATTAACCGTCACATTATAACGCCCCCACGGCTGAAAGGGCAAGCATGTTTGCGAGTCGAGTGCCCTAACCGCCTGGCCATGCCGGGCCCTGCACAGAGAAGTAGAAACATCATGGTGTTATATAGGTATATCGATTTTTGTTTTGTTTTTTCTGGGTGGATTAGTTTCACAAGTTAGAAGCTGAATAATCATATTAGTCACTAACCGTGAATTTTACCAGCTTTATAAGAAAATGTGTTAGAAGTTTTTAATTGATGTTTTATCTTTCATATTCCAAACTTTTCGAATTACATTCCAGAAGCTAGATCTGTGGGTGAGAATACTGGTAACGTTCTGGTTGTATCATTATTTGGTCCTAAATCTACAGATACAAAATAAAGTTGGAGAAAGAACAATTAAGCCTTATCAATCCATAAGCGCTATCATTCAAAAAATGATAACACAGGCCTGCGATGGTTTTATAGTCTTGAAATGTTTGCATGTTCTACAGTAATTTCTGTACGCTGAATCCGAAAATGGTAACCATTTTTCTCCATCACGTACAGGTTTTTCACAAAACATCATAAGGCAATACATAAAAGAAAGACAACAACACGTACTTTTGAGACCACAAGACGTAGATTTCACACACACACACGCACAAATCACGATGAATGAGGATGCATATTCGTTTGTCATAAATGTTCTTCCCTTTTCTTCAGTTTGTTTGTATTTTTGTTAACAAACATAATAATAAAAAAATGTTTATTGTGGTACACGAAATGATAAATTGATCTAAGTAAAAATTTTTCTTCTTCCCGATTTATAAAAAATCCTTGCGTGATAGAAAAAATTAAATATCATTTTCGAAATCTGCGTAGCTGAATTATAAAATATCCGTCATTAAAACCAAAACTACTTTTATGAAATTTAAATTCGTAGGTCTGTGTAATCAATCGGAGAACAACCTTGTCCGTTTTTCTCAGTTTAATGAAATACTGTTCTTGAAAAGTTTCGCTACTGATTTTATTATATTCGATGATGATGATGAATGAACTTAATCAAGATATTGTCTTAACCTCTTGTTTTTATCATTGTGTTTTATCGTCTCTTTTGCTGTTTACATAAACATTTATTGTTTAACATGGGATGACACTATTTTGTAAACGAATTCATAATAATTGCCTCTCCTTACCTCAACTAGACAGGGTATTGAATCCCGGGAGGAACCAGTAGTAGTATGTCTTGGGATCTTATAACTTCAATGACAATTATCCCCTAAACATTATAGGCAACAAACGTTTAATCACTTCAGTGACTTGGGTACTTTTCTTTATTCTGACTTAATTCACTTTTCTTTCTAGACGCTTCCACATAATTACCCACCCCGATCCCCAACGCAACTGATTGGCCATTTGAATATGTGTAATAACAATCCTTGAATGTTTTTACATAATACACTTGTAATTTTATTTTCTATCACGTAACCTAATAACATTGATGGTTAACGCTACTCTAATGAAATTTAAAAAAAAAATGTTGTGGCAGTTTTATCTAACAAAAGAAAATTCACAACAACAGATATTTAATTGAAAGTTTTCCCATAAGTTTGTTTATTTGTTTATTTTGTTTAATTTCGTGCAAAGCTACTTGAGAGTTATCTACGCTGACCACCCCTAATTTTGAAATAATAGACTAGAAGAAAGGCAGCTTGTCAACACCACCCATCGCCAACTCTTGGGCTACTCTTTATCAAAGAATTGTGGGATCGACCGTCACATTATTACGCCCCCAAGGTTGAAAAGAGCGAGCATGTTCGGGGACAGGTTTCGATCCTACTACCTGCAGCTTACGAGTTGAGCGCCCTAACCATCTGTCTATGCCAGGCCTTTTCCCATAGGAAAGACAACATTTACCTTTCATAAGAGTAGTTAAAAAACTGTGTGGTTAGCATTTTAAAAGACAGTGCATACTTTAATTGATCTTTCCAACATGTCTTTTCTCGAAAGAAAGGGTTAGACATTAACAAGCGAATGAAAGTTTACATTTGTAACCTATAATGCAGTAATGATGCATGCTTGAACTTTAGCAGAAGAAGGGGGAGGGTTAATTACATCACTTGGTGGATATAACTGTTTTAGATTCATTAGATCTGTCTGAAAAGTCCTATCAACAATACTGACAGATTTAAATATGTAGTGACCATCTTGCTTCTTTGATAATCATATACTACCCATGGTAAGTAAAAGGTGAAAGGCCTCCATCTCCTATACTGTTGATAAGCATGTCAGTACCATGCCTCTAATGTAGTTGTATCCTTAATCCACTGCATACGACCTGTAGGTGATGTATTTCTACTTTTTTGTTTTCATTTACTTTCGCTTTAATGATGTTTCTTTCAACGAACTATAATCCTATATGAAAGCTACAACAGAACAGATGGTAGGCGTCATCTGGGCTAGAGAAATCTGTTTGGTAGTAAACAAGCATACTCAGCTATGAAAAACAAAATAGAAACACCTCACCTTTTTTACAAAAAGTCAATGAACTGATTTAAATGAAACTAGAAAAATTATATATTTTTTTTTTTTTAGAAATGAAAGAAGTGTTCTTACTAATGTTATTCCTCCACTTATCCATCGTGTTTATCAAAGTATTATTTTGTTCAGATTTCGACTCTTAAATCTGAGATCTATATGAAACATGCATTTTAATGTTTCGATTTTTTGGGTTTTTTACCTGATACAAATATCACTAGCATGGCTGATGAAAATAATTGCTATGGGAAGATTTATTGTAAAATTGTATTGATGAAAATTAAGAGAAAAGTGTTTATTCTAATATCGAAAAAGATGCCTGAACAGCTGTTAAAATATAAGATTACAATGTATATATGATAAAAATTTGGAAAACAATTTACTTCATTTATTTCGTAGTTCTATAATACGATTATCAGACAATCTGCTTCACTTATAATTGAAAGATCTCTGATAAAACTAGTTGGCTTCATTGACTGTGAATCCAAAGGTTAATGATTCTCGCCCCATGTCCTCAGAAAGACGCTCTGCTACTTGAAACCGTTGGTACGCTATACTAGAGACTATTAAATTCTATTATTCGGTCAGACAAGAGTTGGTAATTGGTGCTGTTGACTGGCTGCCTTCAATCTAGTCTATCAGTTCAAAATTAGAATAGGCTATATGCAGACAGTTCTTTGTGTAGTTTCGCGCCAAAAGTTTATAAAACAAGCAAACAAACAAACAGTTATCAAGCAGTGGTTAATAAAAGTTTATTGTTTCGAACGTAAGTTGAATATTAAAAAAGTGAACTTAAAGATAATGCATAATGAAATACATACTGTGTTCTTAAAACATAATAATAGATTAGCCACCTCTTTTACCTCGTTATGACAAGAAATCATGAAATATAAATGTCACAAAACAAGTCCAGTTCTTACAGCATTTTGTTGATTAATTGCCAGAATTTTTGTTTCACTGGGAGAAATCGTCCTATCAGTAACTCGCTAAAAACAAATTAGACATTTTGCAACTAGTTTTCTCCTTGCAAGGTTTAATGTCTAATCGCAAGACAAATGAATTAAACACAGTGCTGATATTATCAGATAAGCAAAGTGGGCAAATGTCTAGGGTGAGAAAATAGACGGACAACAACTTACTTTGTTATTTATCCCCTAGAAAAACACGACTGCTACGGGTAGGCAATAAGAAGCGAGAGGAGCATTCTGTTTCTTACCTTTCAGTAGATATTTCTTGTTTTCTCAGGAAGCACACACTATTAAAATATTCTACAAATGTCCAAATAGAAATTAGGCTACCATATATATATGTGTGGGTGGGTGTAAGAGAGAGACACGAGCTCAACAGACTCTTTAGTTTTCACGAAATGCGCAGTAAATATTTCTTTATAGCATTATTTTTAAGTTTGTAAAAAGTGACAAATACTTAAAAGAAGATATATACTAACGTGGAATGGACGTGTTTGTTTGTTTGTAATTTAGCACAATGGGCTATCTGTGTTCTACCCACCACGGGTATTGAAATTCGGTTTCTAGCGTTGAAAGTTCGCAAACATACCGCTGTGCCACTAGGGGGCGACGTGGAATGGTGAACTTAAGAAACAAAGTGACTAATGGAGGTCTAAACAGCCAAGCATTGACTCAGAGGTATGACATTTCATGGTCAAAGTGACTCCAGTACAAATTAAGATATTCGACTTTCCTATAAATGACAAGGGAAGGACACGTTAATTTAGAAAGAGTACCAAGACCGCGGATTCAGTATTCGGTAACACACAATTTAGTACTTGATTATATATCTACCACCAGCTCTTGGGCTACTCTAATCAAATAGTTAGATTTGA